TACCTGTCCTCACTGTCCCTCCTTGGGGCAGTGACCCTCCGTGAGGCTACATTCCCTTGCCTTTAACTGGTAATCATGGTTCTTTCTCCACCAACTTGGAGAAAGGGTGAGTTGTTACACACTGTCAATGGCCTCCAGCCAAAATCACCAGGAACACACTTGTGCGTTGAACAAGTTGAGTGTATTGCTCATCACAGTGAGAGAAAATGACACCAAAGGGCATTTCAGTAGAGAATGTGAGAAAGGATCATAGGGTGTGGGCTTTGGTTGGATGATTTGAGGGGGGTGGGGTAGGCATGGGGGACTGAGTCTGTAGGAGCCAGAGTTTACTTTGGATTGTCAGGGACAATTCTATGATTAGGTATCTTAATAAATCTTATCTATCCCAAGCGCAGACTAGAGTGAGACTAAATAAAACTGTAATTGGTAAAGAATCAACAGTCATTTATATTATGCAGGGTGGGAAGAGCATGGTATTTTCTGGTTTGTAAATGACCTTGTTTTTGCCTGTGCTTAGACAAAATTGTGAAGTGGTTTTGGTTTGCCTCACTTTGTCATGAGTGCAGAATGAGCTTGTCTGATGTTGAGGTTCTGCGAGGTTGACTGTGCCAACAGAACAACATAGCACCCATGGGGGTCCCAGGCCAGCTTCTGGTGGATAGAGTGATGCCAGCTCTTAGGTATGGGGCTGTTTTTCTTTTGCTCAAGACCAAATGAGACAACATAAGCCAAAGGGGCTTTGTCAGTTGCAAAGCNTCAAATGAGACAACATAAGCCAAAGGGGCTTTGTCAGTTGCAAAGCATCAGACAAACAGAAAACTCAAAGGAAAAATCAAGTCAGTGATGCAGTACCTGGTTGGTATCAAAATCAGAAAGGTCCTCCTTTCATCTTCTTTTTTAAAAAGAAAATTATGTAGGCTTCCAGCTGGGAAAAATCTCTCCTCTCAAACAAGACCCGTCCCGCCCTGGAGAGCTGAAGTGCCACATTCATTCAATCTTATTTGTGTCTTTCTCTAGGTCGGACTCATCTCGGGCACAGTCTTCGTGATTCTTGGATTGACTGTCCTGGCAGTGGGCTTTCTTGTGCCCCCCAAAATCGAAGCCTTTGGCGAGGCCAATTTCGTGGTGGTAGACACGCATGCTGTCCAGTTTAACGGAGCCCTTGACATGTGCAAGCTGGCGGGCGCCGTGCTGTTCTGCATCGGGGGCACGTCCATGGCAGGGTGCCTGCTGATGTCGGTGTTCGCAAAAAGCTACTCCAAAGAAGAGAAATTCCTTCAGCAAAGGTTTAAAGAGCGAATCGCAGACATCAAGGCCCACACTCAGCCCATCACAAGAGCTCCGGGCCCAGGAGAAACAAAGATACCAGTCACTTTGTCCAGGGTTCACAATGTCCAGCCCTTAGCGGCAACCTGAAATCTTTTCCACCCAACCTCCCCTCTCTAATTTACACCCAGTGTTGCAAGGGAGCAGGCGTTTGGGAGACGACAAGGCTTTGGCGTTGACCTGCCCCAGAGCTGTGCTGGGCAGTGGGCAGAGTGATGACTGAGCTCAGGCCCATTCCATTCAGCGGTCCTGGGGACGCTTGGCGCAGTGGGTCAGCGTGGGCACATGCACCCAGCCGCCTAAAGAGGTGCAGCTGGGTGCCCACCAGAAGCTCGCTAGACCTACTTTCTCATACAGTGTGACTTTGTGACATTTTCCGTGTTCTTGGAAAGCGCTCAACAGTTCAGACCAGCCTACCAATGGCTAGTGTGGTCCATTTTACTTTCTTGTGTTGTTTTTTCTAATTTTCTAACCTTTCCTGTGTGGTGCTGCCTTCTATTCGTGGTCTCACTACATGTAAGATATTGTCGTGTGTGTTCATAGAAAAATCAAATTCCCTGGTTTTGACCCAATCATTGGTCTTTTAGCTCTAACGTAACATGAGTCCTTAAGATCAGAATCAAACTTTTCAGAATTCTCCACAAACTTTTCTTTGTTTTATTTTCTCCAGTTTTTTCCATTTAAGGAGCTCAAATTGCCAACTTTAGAATCTTGGGAAAGAAATTAGTATTAGGAGAATCTATTTATGCAGTGTCCAAAAGCCCTGAAGTAAAAGTCAAGAAATTTGAGTGCCTATTACTAACTAGCTGCATGATCTTGGGGAAAGCACCTAACCTCCCCAGGCCTCAGTTTCCCCATCTGTAGAATGGGGGTCCTGGTCTGCGATGTCTTGTTTTGCCATGTGTCGTTGTGTGTCCATGACCAAGGACGTTTACAGTGTTCTGTGGCTCTCACCACAGTGGGATTCTTTCAGATCTGGACTCCCAGAAACTTGCCAAGTCAGGATCCTCCACGCCACCCACTTCTAAATATCCAACCCCAGCAGTTTATACAATGCTGTCATATTTTTATAGAAACAAGAGTAAGCCATCCGCCTCTAAGAAACCCCTGAGTAGACATAAACCTTAAGAGGGTTTTCTTTCTCGAAAAAGATACTTTCTTCTCCTGTAAAGTGTTCATCTCATCCCTTTGCATTTCTGCTTAATCTGTGGATTTAAATCAGACTGAAGAAAACAGAACACGTGATCTTGATACCCTCTCAGAACCTGTGCCACCTTCAAATTCTGTCTTTTTGTTTTTTCCTTTCTTCACTGGATAAATAAAATATGTGAACGAACAGAACCCGAATTGCCTTGTCATTCCTTCGGTGTGGCTGTTTTCTCTCCAACATGTAATTTTCCATTCTGAGGCTGAGTGAGCTCTGCAGGTCCCCTGGTGAAATGGAAGAATAAATGAAGCAATTAGTGCTCTTGTGCACATGATTTCTTTTGCATCGTCTAGCATCAAACAGGCAGCAGATCAGCATCCTTCACAAGGATCGTTGGCCATGTTTGGGAGAAACTATTCTAGTTTCCTCGGGTTCTTACCTTCCCTTGGCAATGCCATTTTACTTGTGTTCTCAGAAGCCTCATTCAAGCCTCATTCAAGCTCCCAGGCACCTGTTCAAGGTAAAACTGCGAGGTTTTCCCTGTTGACTTCTGTGATGTGTAGCAAGGAATCTTCAAGGATGAGACTTGACTTTTAAGAGCCTCCGGAATGAAAAATACATTCTTCTGCTTCCAATCAGTCTGGTCTCTAGTGCTTGTGGGCAATACACCATTAAATTCTCACAACTGGTGGGGGTTTCAGTATCTGTAGAACAGCTCATAGGCGTTGTTATGTGTATCCAAGAGTCAGACGCGACTTGAGTGACTTTTGCTCACTGAGGAGGAACCAGGACCTTGCCCCCAAAGCTGCACTGTTGGTTTTTTTTTGATGGTTCCTCCCCTATCTCTGACCCATCAGAAGAAGGTCCACGAGTTGATCACAACCTCTTTGATAAAACTTCTCACTACACCCCCCAACCCCCACACCAAGGTGGGATACACAGTTTTGAGGGCTTTAACCTGCTGTGGTCCCTTTTGCCTGGCAAAGCAATAAAGCTGTATCTTTTCCACTTACCCAAAACTCTGTCTCCGAGATTTAATTTGGTGTCAGGGTAAAGAGGCCGGATTCGGCTTTACATGCCACCTATTAAATGGAATCCCTGTTGTTCCTGTTGTTGTTTAGTCAGAAGGTCATGACTCTTGTGAACCCATGGACTGTAAGCCCACCCAGCTCCTCTGTCCATGGGATTTGCCCGGCAAGAATACCGGAGTGGGTTGCCATTTCCTTCTCCAAGGGATCTTCAATAGGTTGCAGATTCCCTGAAGTCATTAATTGTCTTGCTTACTATGTACACAGTACCTCAAGCCAGAAAACTGATGAGAGATTGTGTAAGCAGCAATTCCATGTGCTTCCAAGGCCTCCTGTCATCTGGTCCAGCTTCTTTCTAGCTTTATTCTGGCACATGCCCTGGAACCCTTTGTTCTATCAATAGCTATACTCAACCACTCTCCACTCTAAGTGTGCCCTCACTCACAAAGCTTAATTTACCAGAAATAACCATCTGCCCAGTCTCTGGCTGTTGAACCCTTCCTTTAAGACCATGTCAAGATACAGCAGCAACACTGGGAAGAACTAATACATACTGAGTGGGAGGCACCATTGAAACATTTTGTGTGTAGAATTCATTTTATCCTCACGAAAACCATATGAGGTTGGGGCTATTATCATATGCCCATGATACAGGGGAGAAAATAGGCAAAGAGAGGATAACTTGTCCAAGGAGAACTAGTAAGTGACAGAGGCAGCCTGGCTCCAGAGGCTATGAGCCACATTTTCATCCAATATTTTCTTCTGCCTATAGAAATGTCACCTTCTCTATGCACCTGTTCCTCCATCTCTCTCTGGCTTTGGCTCTATGTCTCTCTTGCGCACATGCCCTTTCTCTCTCTCTCTCTCTCTCTGGCTTTCATTCTCTCTTTCTCTTTTACTCTCCCCACGGTTCAGACTTAATGTCTCTTCCTCAGGTGCCAGCATTTTGTGCAAACACATTCTATCGCACTTATCTCTATTATAGTGATTTGTTTACATATCTGCTTCTTCCGTTAGAAGCTAGACTATTAGCTTCTTGGATACAGGGAGTGTGTCTTAATGAGTGGTGAACCCTCAGAAGTGAATATATAAAAAGCTATGTGCTATTATATGGTCATTTACAACAATTACTGCATTTTTACTTAGAGCCAGGCATTGTGCTGGCCTACAGAAAAAGAGATGATTAATAGAGGCACTAAAGATTTTGCATATCTAATGTGACTGTGTGTGTGTGTGTGTGTGTGTGTGTGTGTGCGCGCGTGTACAGAGGTGAAAATGGGTTTTTGGAGAGGGCTAAAAACTGACGGCATAGGCTTGGGTACCTGAGAGTAGAACTCTCCTTGATCTAACATTTGGGTTGCAGGGGGCTTGGTCTAATGGTTGGCTGGCCCTTGTTGTTGTTGTTGCTTAGTTGATCAGTTGTGTCCAACTCTTTGTGACCCCATGGACTCTAGCCCATGAGGCTCTTCTGTCCATGGGATTTCCTAGGCAGGAATACTGGAGTGGGTTGCCATTTCCTTCTCCAGGGGTCTTCCCAACCCAGGGATCAAAGCTGACCATTACTACATTATTTTAATACGAAAGTACTACATTACTTTTGCTTGTAAAAAAAAATTCTCCAGCCAACCAACCCTGCTCTTGGACACAGAGTGTCCAGTTATACTTTCCAATCCTGGGAGAGACAGATGGAAAAGATAGACTCGCCTAGTCTTGAGCAAGTTAAGTTGTCTCCTGTAGACCTGAATAAACAATCAAATCTTCATCCTTAAACATGAAAGTAAAATCAGAATCATCAGACACCTGAGAAAAAACCATCACCCTGAAAGAGTATATGGTGGTGGTGGCGCAGTTGCTCAGTCATGTCCGACTCTTGCGACCCGATGAACTGTAGACCGCCAGGCTCCTCTGTCCACGGGATCCTCCAGGCAAGAATACTGGAGTGGGTCGTCATTTCCTTCTCCAAATTAGAGATTATAAAGCTACTAAAAATGAAACATAACACTGGAAAGAAGAAATGAAATAAAATGAAATGTAGAGAAAGTAAATTAACCGCTCATCTTTCATTATAGGAATCAATCATTACTGTATCAGTTAATAAATCAAGATGCTATAAATAAGTACACTATTTAGGGTCATGGAAGAAGCCACTAGAATAATCTCAAACAGGATACATTAAAAGCGGTTGCCTCTGAGAGAGATTGGGGAAGGCCAGGGGTAAGGTCAGACTATTGACTCACATAATGAAGACAAGATAGCCTCTATTCCTGCCGCTGTGGCCTTTGAATAGACTGTAAGCAAATCAATGTTGTGTTCGATGTTACAAAAAGGAGTATCAAGGGATATATATTGTTTAAACAAAAGGATTTTTCCTAAATTAAGGTTGTGGGAAGGCCTCCCTGATGTAATGATATTTAATCTGTATCTTGAAATATGAGAAGTTAACTAGAGTGATCCTGGCCTAAGGAGGAATTTGTTCTTCTTGTGTTGGGGGGAGGGGGCCGTTGAACTAAGGAAAGAGAAAAGAACTGTGTTCTAGATGAAGCAGCCCACATGCTCTGCACAGAGTGTCTGGGATGCCAAGGCCACCCAGCTGCATGCCCCCGACCTCCAACATGAACAACGCCCCCTAGAGTTGTGCCGCAGGCTATACTTGACGATGAGAGTAAGCAATGGTGCAAGGTAAGGTTTCCTACAGAAGACAAAGACCAGGCCAGAAGAGACAAGAGCAGCTTGAGGATAGCAGAGGACAATTTAGAGCAGCCACTGCGGGGATAGCAGTCGAGAGTCAATCAGAAGTGAGGAGGGAACTGATGGAGGAGATGACCGGTGCCCCAGTGCTGGAGGACGCTGGCTTCCTCTCGGTCTGCTGTCTCCAGCACATCACCAACCTCAGAGTCTAGTCCAGAGGACTTGCCACTTCCTCTGCCTTCTGAGAAATGAGAAATGCCAGTAAGAAACTCTGAGCTTGTCATGCCCATATCTTGCCCCTGAATAAATTCTACTATCTGCTCCAGGGGAGGGGTAAAAGAAGAAAGAATCGATATGTTTATTTTGCTAAACAGTCTCTTCCAGAGTGAAGCTTCCTAAGGGGCTCAGTGGTAAAGAATCCGCCTGCCAATGCAGGAGACACAGGTTTGACCGCTGTGTCGGGAAGATCCCCTGGAGAAGGAAATGGCAACCCACTCCAGTATTCTTGCCTGGATAATTCCATGGACAGAGGAGCCCGGCAAGCCCCAGTCCATGGGGTTGCAAAGAAATGGACATGACTTAGCGACTAAACAACAATACTTTCAGAGTCCTGCATGATGCCATGGCACTAAGAAATGAAACAATGCCCAGAAAAGAATCAAAGCTCATATTAAGAGCTTTCTCTGTTGCAGAGAAGCAGAAAGCAGAGCTTTCTCTGTGCAATTCTTGCACATTGCAAAGATGTTGCAATGTGACAACATTCTTATGCATTTTTGCATTTTACTTAATCTATTCTTGAAAGAATTTTAAGGCTGTCTACTATTACTTCCTCTATTTTACAGGTAAGAAAATCTAAGCTCAGAGAGATGAAGTAATTCACCCAAGAACAGGCAGACAGAAAGTGATCAAACTAGCATTTACTCACAGGTAGGGGTCGCAGAGAGTTGGAAGCAATTGAAGCAATTTAGCACACAAGAACGCACAGTGCCTCAAAGATCTCCCTGTGGATAGATTCTTCTGAAAAGGATGAGAAAGTAGGAGCATCTCATCTCTGTTCAAAATGTCCCAGATTAAACACACCCTTCATCACAGAGCATTAAAAAAATGGGCAGAAAACACATACATACGTTACCACTACATGGAATTCAATCTAAACCTGTGCAAGACAAGACTCCCTCTGAACTGAAGCACTAAGTTTATTTAAAGAGTCCATCCAGATTGCTATTTCAGTTCTCCCAGAAATTTGGTAAAGGACAAATTGCTAATCTGTGAGCTCCTTGAGGTCAACACTTTGTCTTAACTTGTATTTCTCTCCAATTTCTAGCACAGTATCTGGTTCCCTTTAGAAACTCAATAAAAGTTTGCTGAAGCCAGGTGTTTTAGCTCCAAAAAAAAGTTGTTCTCTCCAATCCAACCTCCTGCTGACCTCCAGCACTCCAGATGGCACTGGTAAGAATCACGAATCCCCAGCAGCACCT